CACACTATATATATATATATATATATATATATATATATATACATACAGAGAACCTAGGAACTCTTAACCGTGAGCCAATGTATTGATTTCCTGTACGTCTCCCATTTCAAACGTAGAAAGACAAACGATCATCGGAATGAATTTTATCATGGTAAAGTTAAGATTCTTGATTGTTCAAACCTTGTTTTTGATCATATATATGATGAAGCACTTGTATGTTTAGAAATAACGATATCATCTATCTAAAATAATTTTTTTCAATAGAGAAAAATTATAAAAAAAAATTCACCTTACTTTTAGACCAGAACTTTACTTTTAAGAAAAAAAAAAAAAGAAAAGAAAAAATTTTTTTAAATAATAATTAATTTCGATATAATAAAATTCTCAAAAATTAATCACTCAAAATTCGAAATTTAATAAATGAAGAATATCACACACTCTAGACATCTTACAGAATTATCACTATTTTTCTCTCTATACACAATGAATATATATATTCTATTCATACACTTGTGAATATTTTTTAAACAAGTTAAATATGAACGATTTATCGGTATTATTATAGAGCTATATAACCCACATCGATATGAACGGAAAATATGATTTTGACCTAGAGACTTGAAATTTATGGAAAGTCATGCTAATATCTTCTCATAGAACTCTCGCCATACTTCGGCGCTTATAAAGAGAAGAAACGAAGCAGTCAAGTCTGGGAACGAGTCTGCCGAAGTAAAATTCCTCGACAAGCACAACGCGAGCGGGGATTCTGAAGGAGAATATGGATACGGTTTGCGGCTCGCTAGCCAGCTAGCCAGCCACCGTGGCACTTGCTTCTTCCCTCTTCTTTCTCCTCTGGCCTTCTATCTTATTTCTTCTCCTCTCGTCACTCCCCTCTCACCCGCTTTCACTCATGTGTGTCAAAGAAAAGGACGTAACTGTGGTGTATGTGCGCGTAAAAGACTTTACAGCGCTGCTTCTCGAGTGTGTGTGCCGCTATATGCGCGCGCATCCGTTTCTCACATGAGAATGTCAAGATAGGAAAACGAGAGAGAGAGAGAGAAGAGAGAGAGAGGGAGGGAAGGAGGAGAAGGAGAGGGGAAGCCGAATGAGAATTGGGTGGGATGAAAGTCTTACAGGCAGAACACACAATTGCGATCGGATCTCTTTCGTAAATGTCACGCAGAATAATGTCCGATAATGATATTGCGAATTAACTTATTGATCTTCTTTCGCTCATATTCACTGATTTTTTTCTCATTTTTTTATCCACTTTATTGTCAATAAAATTTCACCCATAGTTATTGTATTTGATACCATAACAAAGAAACAAAATTTTGAAATAACACTCCACATATATCACACATTAAATGATTCCCGAATATCCATGAGAAGAACATGTATTATCGATTGCTATTGTATTTTCGAATAAGATACGCGAAATACGAAATAGAAATGACTCGGAAATCGCTTATAAACGGCACATTCCTGCTATGGCTGCCATTTTGAGCAATCTTCGAAGGGATGCGCAGATACTAGAACTTTTATTCGTTTTTTTCACCTCTTTTTTTCGCAAGAAAATCAAAATAAGTCGGAAAATTAATTTCTAAAATTAATTAATCGATCGACATTTTTAGAACAAATTCTGAAAGAAAGCAACTTTTTTTATTGCACATAATCTTGCATATTTCAATTCGTTGAATGAATTCTCGAAATATTCAAGACAATTAGGAAGATCAAAACTCATTATATAAAAGATTCGCGTGCTCTTTTCTTGCAATCAAATCACACGCATATGGAAGAGTGACCACGCCCCATTGGGAATGAACCGACATATCACGATATAAAAAATGCTCGAGTATTATAAATAATGAATTTTTGATATTTCCATTTTAAAAAATGTTCACCGTTCCTCGATTTCATAACGGTTTAAATATTGTGCGTAGTTAATCCAAATGAAGTATGGTATCCAAATTGTGCCGTTCAATTCTCGCGCATTTCCTCTCTCGCGTTATTACTGACGCCTGTGAACGTGAAGAACAAACAACGGATTATTGTGATATGCATTTTCCGTTGATATGAGTATTAAAAGCTACGTGTATGATCCGGGAGAAGAAACAAAGGCTTTCTTCAGAAGAACGCACAAGGAAATACGTGCGACTCACGCGAGATTAAACGAACAACTCCCCGAGATACTCCGAAACCGTTGGAGTCTTTGCGCTTGCGCGTAATATTCTTCTCTTGATCGACCTATCAAGATGCTCGGTTCCCCACTCTCGATCTGTTACCCTACCTCACCTAGTAAGTCCGTTTCTACTCTTGCCGAGCTTTTCTGTACATAGGGTGTGCCAGAAACAACTTTGGTTCTTTGTTTTCTTTAATTTCAACGAAATTCAATATCTCTATTCTTTATAAGATGAAAACAAAACAAAATTTTTTTTTTTTTAAGCCTACAAAATTACGATCAATCAAAATATAAAATATATATTATATTATTTTCTGAAATTCTTATCTGCTATGATATAAATAATTAATAAAAGAAATAATTCGATCTCAAAAGTTCTGAGAAATTAATGACAACTTTATTATTATAAAATAAATTATATTGAATTTTAATGTATAAATATCGTGAATTATCGAAGGAAATTCAGAATTCATTGAAAATTGTGAATTCGGTTTCCTTATGTTTTTTGCCTTTCATTGATTCTAACATAGCGTCAAGTTATGCGCTCTTTGTGTGATCCGAATGATGAAACATTGATGAAAATTTTCATTCGATTGAAAATTTTTTTATTTTGCTATTCTTATTACATTTTTTTTTTTTCTTAACATTATTTCCCATTTTCGCAATAGATATCAAACGATAGTGAATTTATGTATACATGCTCCTTTTTTTCTTCATGAATAATCTAATAAACCTAAATGTTACTGATGTTTTTATATATATAATATATAATATATAGTTTATTAGTATATAATAGTTTAATATTAATAATTTTCATTAGTAAACATTTTTCTAAAATTTAATAAGTTGTTAAAATGATAGTAGAGATTATTATTCGAATTTTTGGCCATAATTTTTCCTTAATTTATTTATCATAAGTTTTAAAAACAAAATGAATTCCATTGAATAAATATGAATAATATCACATTGAATGTTTACAGATATGGACGCGTGCAGAGCGTCAAGTTGCTGCCGCGGGGCGAAGAATGCCCCGTGGATGGAGGTTCCGGTGGTTCCCTCGGAGAAGGTAATGAGGGTGGTTCCGGTTCCAATTCTGGCAACGGTGGTAGTGGCGGGGGCAGCGGTTCCTCAGGCAGCACCGGGGGTGCCTCCGCGACGGTGGCGTTCATGGATATCAAGTCCGCAGCGAAGGCCCACGCGACTGAACATACCTTGGACGAACGAGCCCTTACCACACAATACTACGAACCACAGCATCTTCAGCACAGGTTTCCCTCGCACGGGTAAGTTTCATTTATGCTTTACGCATATATTATTGAAAATTTGAAAAAAATTCTCATTAGATAATATTTGAGAAAAATAAAATATTTAATTATAAGAATTAAATTATTATCCTCGTTCCTTTTTTTAAGGAACTCTAGTATGTTATGGAATGTCTAAATCAGCATAATTATTAATTTGGATTGTATTCTATTGTGTTCCTCACTTGCATATTTTATATCTAAAAGTTTAAGTTTGCTTTTCTACAATGAATTGTAAAATTTTCAAAGTTAAAACAGTTGAATATTTTGGTCCCTAAAGTGACACGTATAAATGTTGATTTTTGTGATGAGTCACGTCGCAAGAATTAATTGAATTGCACGTCACAGGAAGCAGGTAAAACGACATTTCAATGTTGTTACGGACGAACGGCTGTTCCATTATCTCTTTTTCCTAACAAAATTCACGTACAATCTGCATTAGTATATACATTACAATTCTCTCTTTCTCTCTGTTTATTCTAATCTCACACGGCATCCCTTCATTTTGCAGCTGGTTACTATTGTTGGATTTATGCGTTATTGCCATGTTCATTTATCAGTATGAATATATCATTCATATATACACATGTATGTAATATATTACATACTATATGCATGAAAACATGCAATGTAATGTAATAAGATATTAAGTAGAAATTATTTTGATACATACATATATATATATATATATATATATAACTTAAAATATTAATATTTTAAGATATTAAATATATAATTACCGCAATAATTATTTTTCATCGTTTTTAGATACATTTAAAAAATGTATATGATAACAAAAATAATTATGATTCTATACAGATATACATTGTCGTCTGAACCTTAACCTCTTACAATGTTATGGTCAAGGTTGACATATCACGTTATATTTCATAGTACTTTTTTATATATTCATCTTAACTTGAATAATATGTTTAAAAAATCCTACAATTCAAAAATTAAAAAATTAAACATATTTAAACTTATTCATTTTCAAATTTTTTTTATCTATGATGATAATTCAATTTTAAGTCAACTAAAAATAATTTTAAACTATGAAATAATATTTTTAATAAAAGTTTAATTAATAATTAACGCTTCAGTTTTGAAAGTTTTGAATAAAATTTATGAAATATGCTTATTAAAATAGATAAGTGCTGTTAATACATGTCTATAGCCAGTAAGAAGTTTAATTTCCTGAATTCGTGCATTTTCTAATAAAAAACGTGCTTACCAATGTTCCCTCGTATCACAAAGCGGAATAAATCAGACATCATTATTAATTCAATAAAATATTCCACCCTCATACGCGTTCTGAATAGTTTCAAACAAAATTGAAACAAGTTGTTGTGGGCACGACGCTTAAAAAAAAAAGGAATACTCGATAAAGTTTATCTTCAAGTTCGAATTATTTGTTTATTAATGAGTTTTAGAAATCAGTAGGATACTTGAAACGTATTTCCGTATACGCATAATACGTGTACATTCTATATTCATCTTTGAATTACGCAATAAATTCGCTCGAATAATTTTCTGACAAGAAAAGAGTAATTTATCGATGTCCATAGCCGTAACCTAATTAACGCTTCGGTATAATAGCAATAGAAGCCGTATTTTCTGCTTATTTTTCAGAATAGTATTCATGTTTCTCAGCGAGAACGCCGTACAATGTAACGTATAATACAATTATAAACCGATATCGGTCGTCACGAGGCACAGTCGCGCGTCATGAAATATCATGTTCGTGGAAATAAACCAACCGATAATCGATCGATGGAGTCCAGTTATCGTATTATTGTTCGCTAGCACATTGACGCGTTTCGATCGTAATCCATATTCACGATCGTACCACTCGTCAAAACGTTTTTGCCACGCACTTGTTTTACCAGGCCACGTGATATATACGACGTGTCCCAGCTATTCCGGTCTCCGTACGCGTTCAAGCTCTCGAAGAATCACCTTGTTACGTACACCAATTGCAAGAAAGAGGTCTCATTATGTATTTTCCTCATTGCTTGTCCGTAAAAAAAGATGTAAAACTTTTTATTATATTTCTAGTTGCATTTTCTATCGAATCTTCGTATTCTCTTTAATGGAAGTTCTCAAAATATAGGCAAAATGTGTTCTACCAGCATTCATTGCATACCTTATCCGCGCACACGATAGCGTCGCGTTTCTACGAAAAGTCAGGTGACCGTGACGACGTGTCGGTTGCGATGTTGCCACGTCCGAGGAACTGTGCGCGCGCATCAGTACGCGAACGGCTGTGAACCGAGACGGAGGGGAGACTGCTTTGTCTTTCAGTAACGTAATAGGAAGACTCTGAACCCGATGCTTCAAAGCACTGGTTCAGAGTAAATAGTTTTGAAAATAAAAATTTATATTTTATTAAAATGTTATCTATTATATGATTATATTGACATATTTGAAACGTTACTATAGAAAAAGTTTCTGTTTATTTTTTTTTAAATTTATTTATTTTAAAGAAAATTATATTTAAAATTTATTATAATAATATAGAAACTTGAATAAATACATGTATGTAAAAATATTCAATAAATTGACATTCTTAATGAATAAAATATGACATATATATAATTTTTTGATAATATCATTTTAAGATAAATATTTAAAAGAAAAAAGTTATAATGAATCACACATATGAAATGATAGTACTTTCCTTTGTTTATGAAATAGATGTTTAATTAGACGATTTATTGTGGCAATTATCGAATAAATAAAGGTATTTGTAATGTTGCTTGACTATGACCTCATTGTTTAAGGTCTACAAATTGATAACAAAGTTTACGATTTGCATATGAGTCATTCATATGGATAGACATATGAGTATAATAAATATAATTTCTTTTTAGTTCATTTTTAATGAGACAATCGTTATATAGATTTAAAATTTCATCAATTAAGCCACTGAATATGATGTTATTTCCAATATCATATTTTGTTTTTGTAAATCAGATATATGTCATTAAATCATACATTTGATGATTTATAAATTCAATAGTTCAATCATTATAAAATAGCTATCGAAGGAGAGCTGTCTTCCATTATCAATGTACATACACAAACACATTAATATGACCCTGAAAATAACTTATCGGCAGCCATACACAACACGTGCAATTTCTATTTTGTAACAAAACTTAAACACTAGAGATTCTAAGAAATCTAACGCGTCGTTAATCACAACAAAACTGAGTCGTGTTTAATTTTCCATGAATAAATTGATGTACAAAAATCTTGACATATGAAGTTGACAAAGAAAAAAGCAAATAACGTATAAATTAATAATTGATTTATTGTACGTTTCACAAGAAGTTATCTATTAGTTTTATATTAAGCATATAGACACTTAATAGCGTCTCTACAAACGAAAATTACCGTGTACAAATTTCTTCACGCTTTTTATCTACGATAAGGTTCGTTCAAATCGATACCAGTAACGTTATCACGTTTGGCATGGGTGTTAATCGTAATAACTTAATGATGATGCAAGACTTGCCTTCTTTTCTCTCTGTCTCTTTTTTTTTTTAATCCAAAACTGTTCGAGCACGAACTCTTAAATAAAGAGGTCGAATCGATAAACCGATATAATTCGTTCGCAAAAATGAACTTTTTCGAAGACGCGTGTTTTCCCTGCGCAATCCACATCGACGAATTTGATACCGTATATCGTTCTGTCCTTCATACGATGATTTGTGCTTGCTCGTAGATGTTTTTCTGGACTAATCACATATTTTTTCCCTCCATGTTTTTTTTATTCTCGTGTTCGCAAATTAAACAATACGTTGCGTTTCTCAAACACTTAAACGAAGACTTATCGTGCCAATTTTTCTGTCGATCTCGAAAATGCCATCAACATATTTAGTGTATTTTTTGCTTTACAATAAAACGAATAAAAAAATCACAAAATTTAAACAAAATTCTCATGACAATATAAAAAATAATTCATAATAAATAATTAATATATTATAATTTTACGTGATAATATAATATAATATAACATAGACATAGATTTTGTAAAAAAATTATTTGTTTGTTAATACAAGTTAGATAAATACAAAATTTGATCATTTTAGCACGAGTAGTATTAAATGTTACGTACATACATACATTGAATTTAAGTTTTATTACGTGCTAATAAAAATTTGCCATTTAGATAAGTGAAATTATATGACAATTAATTAATTATTGTTAATTTATCTTATCTTTAGTCTTCGTAAATAGCTATTAGAAAATTGTTGTTTTTGTTAAAACAGATGCGCAGATTGTGGCATTTTTTTTTTTTAAATTCACTTTGATCGACTTCTTGAAATTTTTACGCAATTCACGTTGAGTCTGGATATGTAGGCTGGTTGTATTAATTATCACCATTTCGATTCTGAATTTAAATATGATTGAATCAGCATTATTAATCAAGGATAAAAAAATTTTGTTTCATTTTTTTTGCAGTTTTTCCTTGTTAATTTCAAGGTCTTATTAATTTTAATGTTATGAAAATTTTCAATTAAAAATTAATGATTTATCGAGGAATATCGTTATAGTAGTTTTAATCTATGAAATTTTGAATTATTTTACATCACAAGAAAGAGAAAAACTTATAAAAGTTATGAAAAGATAAAGACATTGGTAAAATAATTTTAGCTCGATATATTTTAATTTTGAAAATTTTTTTTTGACATTTATTTTATCAGATTATGATTTCGATTTTACAATTTCACTTTAGTAATTTCGTCACGTTGATTTTGTAAAAAATTTTGTGAACGATATTTAGATTAGATTATTCAAAGTAGGCCAGTTTGGTTTATCGTACATTAAGTGTATTTTCGTGAATGATTTCTATTATAATGAATTGATTGCATATCGTTGGTATCGCAATGACAGTTTTATAAACATCGATTGAATAAAAATTATACATATACATATGACATTATAAATGGATTAATCTTAGATACAATCTAAGATACAAAATATAGAAATGCAAACATTTTTATCATGTAAAATAATGCTTTTTATTATAATTATTATTTACATGGATACTTATTATTAAAATACACAAATGTATTTTAACCCTCAGTAGGTAACTAGACTTTTTTTGTGGTGGACAATTTGGATTTTTATTTTCAAATCTAATTTTTTACTGTTTTGGAAAAAAATCTTGTTTTAAATAAATTCTGAAATACTTACGAAAATTTATAATATAATTTATCTAAATTCTTTGTTTTGGAAAAAATTGAACTCAGATTGCCTACATATGGTAAAGAAGATATATCTTCTCACATTTACGACGGAAAATATAAAGCGCAACATTTGTAAAACAAACGAATCGTAATTTTGGTATTCATTATTCTCATGTGAAAATAACTCGGTGGAATCCATTTGAATTTCGTTTAAAGCATAAAGAAGTATCTCATAGCCGAAAAAAGGCTCTCATATTCGATCGAATGATTTCGGTAAAAAAGGGAAAAGAGTAATGAAAAAAAAGAAGGAAAGAGAGGAGGAAAAGAAAAAGGGTGTCGGCTGTCGGTTAACGGAAAATTTCACTGTACATCGATAGAGGCTCGCATGGCAACGTCCTGGTTCCTCTCGTAGTCGCGAGCAAAACAAGATCGTTGGAGAAACGAGAAACGAGAAACGACCACGCGTAATGCAGCCTTTCGAGATTCAGGTCGAAGTTTCTCGCGAAGGTGGGAGATAAGCGCACCGGTGACCGTATGGTAACGGAATGAACGTGAGGAGGCGTTGGGAGAAAGGCCGCTGATTCTTCGCCACGATTACACTTCGTGCATGTCGTTAAACGTGTCTCGAACGCCATACAATGGCCCGTTTATGTGCATGTGCACACACATACACGCATCCGGCCACGAACGGTAAAATACACGGGCGAACTTCAACGTAGTCACTGTGATAACGAGCCACGTTTTTGAACTTTGATCCCAATGAATATGACCGGGGCCGATAAAGATGTAGGAAGAATAGTGGTAGATTTAAAGCCTCGGGAAATGTTAGTTTTTCAGGAAGTTCTCGAAATGGTATAGATGGTATAGGTCGTTTCTAATTTCTTCGATGAACTTTCGCGTGGAATGTTATTAAATTGTTCCTATGATATATGATACGTTTCATTCGGTTCTCCGTCGGTAAATGATAAATTTACTAATATATTAATTTATGATGGATAAGATATAAAAATACTTGCGAGTTTTTCTTGAAACATCGTTTCTAAATTTTTCAATGAATTTTTCACTTTCGTATGAATTTGCGAAATATTACTAAATTGTTCCTATAGTATATAGTACGTTTCATTCGGATCTCTGTCGGTAAATGATAAATTTACTAATACACGATAAATAAGATATAAGAATATTTGCGAGTTTTTCACATAGAGCTTTCTGAAACTGCTACAAATCGTTTTTAACTTTTTGGTGAATTTTTATATGAATTCATAAAATTGTTCCTATAATACGTTTCACTCAAGTCTCTGTCGGTAAATAATGATAAATTTATTGAAATACGATGAATAAAGTACAATAACGAAATATTTTTGTCCCATTTTTAATTAAAAAGTCACGATTCGTTAGAAATGCACAAAGGAAACGTGGAATCATAATACTTGATGATGAAAAGAAGACGATACAAAAGATTATGAAGTATAATATTCAATTACACGTGTATATTCACTATCCGATCCATAGAGAATAGAAAAAGGTCATATTTGACGAATTAACGAGGGTATATTTATTAGAAAGTATTTCATTTGAATAGAGATTCAATCCTTAAATTTGAAACGAGAACTTCATGAAATAATATTCGCTTCACCGATGAAACGTCAGACGATATAGCAAACGTCAACAAATCTAGAAAAAGCTTAAATTTCGGTCTCCGTTTTATGGCACGGTTAGAACGAGTTTACTCTTGGTGATTTGAAAAACGCAAAACACTTTTTATTCGTATCCTAATTATTACATCGCAATTTTACCGGATCGATACTTCATTACCGATCGAAACTTTGAATCCGTTGTTCGTTACCGCGGTACCGTACAACTTCCATTCCATTCCATTCCATAATTAATGGAAGAATTTTTTTCAGTGCCGACGATATCACGACACGACACCATGACAAAGATTAATAATAACGCGACACGTTCGATGTTGCAGAAGTTCGGAGGATCACGGATCCGGCGGGGTTAGCGGAGGTGGAGTTAGCGGAGTCGGAAGCGGCGGCGGCGGTAGTTCCGGGATCGTCAGCGGGAGCGTTGGAAGCGGAGTCGGCGGCGGCGGCGGCGGTGGCAGCGGCGGTGGCGGTGGCGGCGGCGGCGGC